ACAAAACAACAACCAGTCCACGCAATTATCTGTCTAAAAATGCACTCAAATACAACCAAATGCGCGTGAGGCGGGCGAAATAACAATTCTACCCACTAAGAAATTCTGGTATATCATCCTGGTCCTCCTGTAAAAAAACAGTGTCATTGGATAAAAACAGTACATCCATTCCGGACCATTAAAGGACAAATCTGATTGGCTCCAAAAATAGAAAGTCCGCGAAACCCTGTCACAACAGTTAAGACGTACCCATCTCGCCACGAGTGAACCTTGGACTACCTGTTGTTGCCTTCTTAAATTCAGTTCCTGGGAACTGTCTTTAATCACAATTACCATGGCCTCTACTTCAGCAGCACCACCACATCCACAACAACATGCAAAGGTATGTATCTACTCTTATGATTCTTCAGCAGTTCCTTACGAGATCATTAACCCATCTGCCATTACTCCCACTTCTTTGAAGACTCGTCCCAAAGTTGACAATTAGTTCGCATCGACTTTTCAATTTTAACCGAGACTTAGATGAATCAAACGCCACCTCGCATTATAATGACAAAACAGACAATTTGTGTGACAATTATAAAACGTCAACATCAGGAACTTGTTACACATACAAACGTGAACTTGTTCAAAGGCATATTGGTGTACTCTCGCTAGCGACCAGTTATCGCCAACACCTGGCTGTAGCACTTGCACAAACAGCTTGAGTTTAACTCTCGTAGCCTAATGCTTGTCTGATGTTTCAATGTGTGAAATACTATGGAAGTACATGTCAAGCTGTCTATGAAGCGCTACAGCCAGGTATTGGCGATAACTGGTGCCTAGCCAATAATAATACAAGACAAATCTTATGAATAACAACATCTTGATTATTTTTTTCACAACGTATCTGAGCTAGTTTAGCCCCTTCTTCAGTTGAATAATAGTGAACAGTACAGAGAGAGCGAGAGAGAGAGCATATCGATGTTTCTATAACAATATTTACCAAATTTAGTGGATTGTCAGAACTTTTGATAGAAGGGTAATAAACTTATTTCTTAGTTTATCATACAATTTACAGACAAGATATAAATTTCATCTTCACCAGATATTATATTATTACTTCTACAGTAGATACACACTTTTCCTCAATTGGTATATCAGTGTATCCTCTGATTTCAATAATTAATCCACAAATTCTATATCTAATTTTGGCTACCAGATATTTAAAATAAAGTAATATAGTTAATGTTATGTAAGTTTTCTACAATTAGCAATGACTTGTAATATTTATATACAAATAAATAACAACAATTCAATAAAGATATTCCCTAACTACTTAAAATTATCTGACAAAAATTCTTAGTTTTTGCATAAATATTTTACTGTTGGTAGTGTCCCTCCTCCAGGTGTCATACAATCAAAATTTAAATAAATATCTTTTATATAGGTAACCCAGGTTTTCCTGGGTTACAAATGACATTTTAACATATAAAAACACTGAACAGGAAGCCTAGTTATTTCCAGTTGAATTGTACTAAACCAGTATTGAACAACTTCATGCACATAAATTAAACTGTAATGGAAATCTGCCACATTCACCAACAACTAAACTAAAACTAATACTAACATTTCTACCAACTCAAAACACACCTACAAAGTTTACTTTACCCTTCAAGAATCTTAAAATAAAAGTTCCCACACTTCACACCATAACAAAATATACAGAATAACTGTATCATATAATTTGAAAAAGATCATTCACTGTCATATGGCCAAAGTTATTTCTATAAGATTGAAATATAAATGAGTGCTTCATTTTGCCTGAAACAAAAGTCAAAATTATTCAAACTATCCTTAAGGTGAAAACAATATCTGACACATCATTTACTAACATTAATACATAAATATTATCCCCTACAATATTAATATTGACATCTTTTCTACAAAATGATAAAAATATGATGAACTGGATTGTATGATAAAACACAATTATTTACAAACCGCCACCATATAACTAGCAAATCTGAGAAAAGTTTGTGTATTTAAATCATAAATATCATAGGGCTTAAAGTACAACCTCGTCGCCGAGTGCTTTGATTAGACTTAAAACTGTTCGTGACATCACTGTGTGCAAAACACTATCTGAAAGTTCAAAATACATTAACTGACAACAACATATCATAAAACCTGTCACTTATCTCAATATCTTCCAAACACTCTATAATGATATATGGTCGATTGTATCAAATGCTTTTTGAAAATGTATACTGCACACTAAAATCTACCTTTTCTCCTTCATGAGTGTTTATAATGAACAGATTCAACAGCTTCAATATTATTTTTTAATATCCACTTGCCACAGACCATTAACTTTAAGAAAAATAACTTGTTATAACTAATTTCTACTTGTCCTCATTATAATAACATAATCATAATGTTCACATTATGAGAGAATAAATCAACATGGTATTTGATGATGTTTACTGGACTATTTATACTCTAAAGTAATAAATAGCCAAAAAATTAAACCTACTTTATTATCCTTGCAACATTTAATAACTACATTTTGAGGATATATGAAATGTAATTGAAGTTGATTTGCAGTTTGAAATCATAACCTAAAATTATTTAGTAGCCCACTGACAAGTAAAATACCATTATTTGATTGTTTGACATGAAAACTGACATGTCACAGAAAAAGGCGACACATTTTGAACCACTGTTAAATGAAAACATATATGCCCAACAGTGTTATATTTTAATCTACAACTAACTTTCCCTCACTTACAATATTATTATCATAAAACCATATCTTCCATCTAAAGGTTAAAATACAATATAAAGTCAGTATACATGCCAACAACTTACAGTATCAAAATCAGTACTAATATTAATAAAACTCCTCTGATTACTGGTGTTTTTAGTCAAACCAGCCTTCAACATGCAATAAATTATACTTCTATCCCATATATCTGGAAAGTTGCCTGTACACAGATTTTCATTCAAACGCAGTGTACAAAATGTAACTGTATATTGTTGACATTACTTTATAAATTCAGCTCTTATCAATCCAGAAAATATATTGCATTTCAGTTTACTAAGATTAAAGTTCATTTTCTGTGCACTTATGATATCATTTAGAGTATTTACACAAACAGTATTATAGACAATGTATTTTTATATCACCAGTAGGTTGATACAAACAATTACTTGATGTCTGTAAAGGACAAATATAGTTAAACCAGTCATTGGAAATAATGTCATCAGTTACATTTTCTTTTTTATATTACAATTTACATATGTTTTACTTTTCAAGAGATTAACAAAATCTAAAACATTTAAATAATAATTGAAATAAGGTTCACACTAAATTATATGCTTAATAAACTGCATATTTTTCATGTTATTCTCTAATATTTTACGGACAGTAAGGTAACCTAATTCTTAAAACGTTGGCTCGTCAGCCAAACACTTGGATTCGAATCGACACATGGGTACAATGTGTAAAGCCCATTACTGGTGTCACCAGCTACAATGTTGCTGAAATATAGCTAAAAGCAGAATAAAACCAAACACAGACACTCAGTCAGTCACATTTTTAATCTAAAATAAACATTGCTTTATAATTCTCCTAATAAATATGAATAGCTTCTTTGTAAAAACACAGTCCATCATCTTTACTGTTGCACAGTCAATATTATCCTATATTTAAGTCACCAAACCTTCGGTATTAACTTACATCAATTATTACATGTTATCCATGTAAATTCCACAAAATTCTTGTTTCGATGGTGGTCATAGACTCACTAAATAAATGATCAAAGTTAGAGCTACTTCAATTTATTGAAATGATTATGTCACAACCACTACTTAAATAAGTTACAATTAAAAACTTAAAATACAGCATGTTCACCAACTGTAAAATCACTAAGAAATGGAAATAATTCTGATGATAAAACATGTAATTCACCACACTGCACACATTGACTGTAAAACAAGGAATTCCTTATCAATGTCAGTAACAAATCTGCCATTCAATGTATGTATACTTAACCATCTCCACAATTCAGAAACTTCTTACCATAAAATTTTTTAGTTATAATTATATTTATTGATAGGAATTTGAAGTTGCCACCAGAATATTCATCAATTTCATATTATCTAAAGTCTATATAGCTATTTTAAATATTGTCTAACAAAATTTTAATCATATAAAGGCAGTTTTCAAGTTGGACATACAATTTCATCACAAACACTAATTACTAAATTCATCCATTTACAGCAAAAATATAAACATCAATCAAATTAGAGTTTTTAACCCATTGCATTTACTGTATCTTAGCAAATAAACCACACAGTTCTCAAACTCATGGTAAATTCTAGACACGCTTTTTTAAATATGAACACATCCCAAATAAACACTGTAACTCCTCACTTGTATCTACAAAAACATATACTTCTTTCTCTTAAACACATTTTACTGATGAATCCATATAATAAAAATATAATAGTCTATTTTGCTTTTACAAAAACTGCAAAACAACAACAATAATATCATAATGTTTACAAAAGTTTTGAACTTGCCCTCAGCAGAGTTACATTCACATAATAATTCAATGTCCATCCCAATATATCAAACAAACCCTACATGTATGTGAGCTCAACCACAAATAAAAACACATGCCCGTAAACACTATTATTAACTTTTATTTGCATTTAGATAATAACATACACTATTCAAACAGTAAAAATATCAGTACATCATAAAAGCATTAATATAACTTCACTTTTTTTAATTCTATACATATAGTGATATTAAAACATTACACCACTTGCTCAGTATTAATGTCTATCCAAATTTCAACTATGGTTTTATCACTAACGTTGACTTACAAAATGCCTTCAACTTTAATAAATTATTAATAAAATATCACCTATAAAATTATAAGTTAAATACACCATTAATAATGTAAAATATTACAATGTTTTCTATAAAATAATTTTAATAATCGACTACAATACTTCACAAAAATAAACATAAATATATTTTTTACCTCACATATAAACTCTTTACATATTCATAATATCATAAATCAGTACAATCTATAATACACATTTCACTATCAAAAATGTATCACCAACAATAATTCAGCCACTAAATAAATAAACTTCAAAATCATTGCAGAAACACCTTTGTTTAAATTTCAATAACATTAACACTATTAACTACCGGTAACTTCTGTACTATTATTTCAGACAAACCAAAATGTGAAATTTTATCATTTCAAGAAAAACCAGAAGTAAACCTGGAAGGCAGGTACAGAGAGTGGAAGGAGGCACATGTTGTTACAAGCCAGCAGCCAAACAACATCACAAATGTCAGGATACACCAAAGCTTCCCACAACTTCAAAGAGGATTCAACATGGCCACAAATGTCACCTTCACACCTGATGGGACCATGCGTTTTAACGCAAATACTAAGGTAAGTCGTATACAAATACATTCCATGAAAACAACATCGAAACAAATTCATTACATATTTTACCAATTACAGTATTACACTTTGTAATTAAGAAACATATGAGATTATTAATAAGATACAAAATACTTCACTCAATTACTTTTTTCAATTTTAATGCAATGATTTGCTTACAATATCACTAACATATCTTGAAAATATAAACAATTCATTACCATCAATTACAAAAACACATTGTCTTTAATATGTACATGTGTGTACCAAGAATACACATTTAATTTCTGTTTCATGCTCATATCAACAACAATAAAATTGTCTAATTTCAGATCCTATCGGCACAACCATTCAACATCAATGATGATGTTGTACAACGTTTTTAGATCCGCCAACATCAACAATTACAGAAGTTCTTGCCTCTGCTGTAAACACTAGCCACAGTGTTGAAGGAAAAGTTATCCAGGTTAGTAACATTTACCTAACACTTGACTTATGTTTAACTCAAATATATCCAGCAGCAATAATAGCTTCAATACCAATTCAAAATTAAAATTAATCAAATCATTACAGAAATGAACATAATAAGCAGAAACAAATATTGTGTACAATATCCTGACACATCCACATATCCAAGACATTATGTGAACATTTACACCCCAGTTCAACATCTAGAGTGACCACCACAAGCGACAACAGTAAGGTGTACAACACTGGAGGTTCCTGCTGTTAAAACATAGCAGTACTATATCAGTACTGATTGGTCTTTCGTGTGTTCAAACTGTCTGGTGTGCTGTTTCAGATGTCTGCATGAACGGATTTTGTACATGTTGACGCACAACATGACAGTCTTGAGGTCATATGGTCACCCTTTGTATGCCAGTATGAGTGCGACCATTTGTGGTGTTGGTGAAATATTGCTGAAGCTTGTAAATGGTCTGAACAGTGATCTGAAATTGATTAGCAAACGTGAGCAGTATACCCAACTGCAAGTCTTTCTAGCGCCTAATTCCTCTGAACTGTCGAGACAGCATCCTGCTGACATTGTAAGGTAAATATTTCAATCAGGTTTCATAACATTACAATTATCCAGTTTTTTTATGTTAAAAAATACAATCAAACAAAAATTACAAACTGACATTTCTTTTTGTTGCTTAGTATACCACCAAAATCACACTTCAAATTAATATCTCATGTATTAAACCCATTAGTACACATTTTATAATATATATTCTATTTTCTTTTCAACAAGGCATATCCAAGAACTACGCCTGGAGTACCGAGGCGTACAATTTACCTCACAGATTCCAGTCGACAAATCACCATCAAACTGTGGGATGAAAAGAGTGAACTAGATGTCCCAACACACAGACCTCTAAAAATAAGTCACTTAAGGACAAATATTTATCGAGGTAACAAGGAACTGAACTCAACAAAAGATACAACAGTTGAGGTAAATTTTATATTAATTCACTTAACTTCTGATATCAATATACAACAATATGAATACATACATATGATACACAAAACGCGTACACATTGCAATATAACTTAAATACAATCCAATACAATGGTACATAACGAAACTTTACTATACATGTATTTATAATACATAATAACATATTTAATTTATTGAACATTAACATTTAATTGTGTAATATCTGTTACAGATTCTTCCACAAGTGATAACCACAAAAACAGGAACTATTGATGCTGTTGGATTTAATGAGTAAGTAAATCACAATAACTAAATACCACAAAATAACCATATATTATGTTATCTTATGTTATCTTTCAAATGTAGAAACTATCTCCAACTCCCACTATCAATGAAGCTTCATTAGTAAATAAACAAATGCTATCATTATTGATCAAATAATTTAAATAGTTTACTTTGGAGATGTTTCCAAAATTAATATTTCTAGTATTAATAACAATCTCATTACCTAACTAGCTCATAAGTACATTGATAATACATTTTTCTATCACAAATAACATTTATCTATTACTTACACTCTTCAATTCAACATAAGAAAACTTTTCCATTACAGAGATGAACAGCTTCTTTTCTTTGAAGAGAAACTGTACCATTGCATGCACAGATATCTTAAAGAAAGCATTTCGAACAGAATGGTCACAACTCAGAAGTTTGAGATGACATTTGAGGGAGATGTTGTTGTTTCAATGTAAGTATACATGCATCTCCCTCTCCCTCTCTCTCTCTCTCTCTCTCTCTCTCTCTCTCTCTCTCTCTCTCTGGCTCTCTCTCTCTCAAAATACAGTCAAACAAGCAAAACATTCAGTGTATGTGTATATAAAAACATTCCATACGATATTATTCAATATTAACCTCATTAGCAGCAATTAAATACAATTTTCATTTCATTAATATACACATTACCAACCCTTGCCAAACTAATTCACAATATAATATTTTCATTCAGGACCCCAGCTACAGATGACGACGAAAAAGGTTTGTATATTATTTTATCAACAAAATGAAACTTAACTTGTTTGAGTAACATTTTAGAAATTGGAAATGCTTGACAACGATACAAGAATCTATATCTAAACGTTCAAACTTTTAGATCCAATCAAACCTATAAGATTTTTTAACCTAATAATCATTTCATTTCATTAAATTTAATCCAATACAATATCTTTACCAAACATATCTAAAACAATTTCTGATACATAACACCAAATTCACAACATTATTATTTCTGTTTCAGACACTAAACACTCCTGAACTAAAGACTTCTCCAATTCATGCTATGGTATCCATGTGCTTGTAAAAACTTCATCCATTCCAAGTTAATCCATTCTCGTATTCTTATGCTTTTAAGATTATTGTTTATTTGTTTCATAGCTCAATTTAGTTTCAATTTTGTTTTTATTTTAATATATTACGCATTTATAATTTACATTTGATCTTTCATGCTTTCCTATCTATAGTAGGGGCGGTGGGGTAGCCTAGTGGTTAAAGCGTTGGCTCGTCACGCCGAAGGCCCGGGTTCGATTCCCCACATGGGCACAATGTGTTGGGCCCATTTCTGGTGTCCCCCGCTGTGATATTGCTGGAAAATTGCTAAAAGCGGCGTAAAACTAAACTCAGTCAGTCCTATCTATATATCTATGACTCAAAAGCAAACCGATGAATTGCACTCTAACTTGAAAACATATAATACTCAATGAAACGCTCAGTATAATCAAAACATCAGATCAACTCTGTGATTACTTTGCAGAATGTATGTCCTAAAATTACAAAATCGTTTAAAAACTATCATTAAAATATTAACAAAGTTCACTATTTGTTACGAGAGAGGAGTGCACAGAAAGGGACAGCCAAGTGTCAGAGAAGCACAAGCATAAGTGCCCTCAAAGTTTTTAATTCATTAACATATGCTGTGCCATCTCTATCCTTTCTCGCACACCTGGCTGTCCCTTTCTCTGCACTCCTACCTCGTAACAAATACTGACCGGTGTCAATATTTTAATGATACTTTGTTAAACAACTTTTTAATTTAAGGACATAAATTCTGCAAAAACCTCACACAGTTGGTCTGTCGTTTTGATTATGTCTATTTCATGTCTATTAGTTTTCGACTTCGATTGCAATTCATTGGTCCGCTTTTGAGCCAATGGACTATAATAAAAATAACCTTTATAAAATAGACATAAGTTCCACACAACTATCAAACATAAGTACTACCATTACAAAATTACACTTCTTAATATAATTCTGTGCAATATGTTCTTGTATCATTTCAATAGGCAATGTACATTTTAGAGTTCATCTTTAAACCAATTGTTTCTCCTGTTGTCAAGCTTTTTAGATATTGTTTTTCATTTGTTTCGCAGTTAGAGTCAGTTTCAATTATAATTTCAATTCAATTTATTGTATTCATGGGCTCAGGCCCATATACAATTAACTATGATCTCATATGTGTTCGTGTATGTGTTTCAAAATCTCTCTGTGCGTGTGTGTGTGTGTACATATACACACTTGGCATTTATGTCTTACATTTTGTCTTTCAACTTACATATCAAGTGGAAATAGCGAGTGTATATATATGTGTGTGTGTGTGTGTGTGTGTGTGTGTGTGTATTTATCTTACCTTCATGTAAAATACTTTAATTTCATTGGTCAATGACGGTTTAACAAGTTTCCATGTCACCTTCCTAATATTACCCGCTGCCACGGTAACCGCCAAGCTCTCCGCCGAGAAGCGGAAGCGCTTACAATTGTTTGACGTCATAATATGACGCATGCCGTACCCGAAGTTCAAAAACCGTTCGATCAGCTGTTTTTGTGTTCACTTTGTACAAATTTATTTACCTACTTCCACTGCTTTATAGAAGCTATTTTACACATTGAGTGGTTTGCACACTCAACTTAAACATTTGTTTTATGCATTTCAGAATATCTTTCACTGATGTTACAAATACAGGCGAGAGGCAGACGCCATTTTGTATGCATATCATATAATCATTAGCGTTTTAACATAAAATAAAATGATATTTTGTGCATTTAACATGGTGGTAAGATAAATACGTTATATACTTCAACCTCGGTAATACGGCCTGATGTTTGTTGGTAGGTCATCCTCGCCTAATGGGCTCGGATGACACCGCTACAAAGAGGCGTACATCAGACCGTATTATTACCCTCAAGACAAGCTTACAACTTATAGTATATATAATTATAATTAAAACTCTAACATATTTAACATCCGCCCTGATATTACAGGAATATTGATAGAAAGCAGAATAAAACCCAACTCACTCACTCACTCATTCACTTAACGCTAACACTTGACCCACATTTTCTTTAAACATATCACCCACATGTAGATATTCCCCATTAAAATCTCAAGACTCAAGGCCCAATACCAAAGGGTAGATAGATCAAAATTAATTTAAAAAATTCAATTTCAACTGCCAATCTCTGCATAACTACTGATCCAATCGGTACCCAGATTGTAGAGTAGATGTGCAATCAAAATGTCATTGTGCATGCCAAAAGTGTCACTGTTTGGGTGCTAGATACATATCATTTACGAGCAGTAATTCAGCTAGCTGAAGGAAACACCATCAAAATTTGCCAACAACCCCTACTCACTGGCTTTCAAATGCCCAAAAAGTAGTGCACTTTCAGTAACAATTGTGTTTTTGCAGCTTCCACCAATTTTCAAACTTAATAGGTAACCCGTATCAAGGCATTAAATGTACTTGCTCTCAAAATATGTGTATACACGTATGCTGCCAGTGCCCATTATAGCTATGAATACAGCACCAAACAACGGTAGGGGTCATGTTTTCCAGTCCTCAGAGCTCATGCTTTCCAGCTTTAAACAGCCGTAACTCTGAAACCAACCATCCGACTTCGACCAAACTTTGGATATACACTTATGCCGCCAGTGTTTGTACGGCGACCACTTGCAGCAATATAGCTTCAAAGACAACAGAGGGACAAGTAATAATCTATTTTCCTCACCACAGTTGCTAATCTTGATTGGTTCTTTATTTTGGGCTATGAAAATTGTCAGTGTACATTTGTATGGTTTGCTGATCATTTTTTATTCTAAGGTACATGTTAAAGAGTTTGACCGTTTCGTGGTTAGAGGCAGACCTGAAAATACTAAAGATCGACTCACTCACCGACTTTCTGATGACTCGAATGTGTCATAGTTTCTCAGAGATTTTTGTGTAAGCACCTATGTTTGGCTTATTGAAGATCTGGAATAATTGTCCGAAAGACAATATCGAATCATTCTTCCCTGATCATACCGTTTATACGAACTATAGAGACTTTAACTACTCTAGGGGGCGTGGCTGTCTGTGTCTCACTCCTCATTGATACGCGGCTAACGTGGTGTTATTGTCAGTGACACAGGGATAATCTTTCTTGTGTTTAACAAGAGGACATTTAATTCTCAACGTGATATCATACTTGGTTTTGTCTATCCATCCTATGAATACATGCCTTGTGACCGATGATAGACTACATAAAAGCATTGAGTATTTAGAGAGAACACTATATGCTGTGATATATGACAACCCTGATTGTGGCACAACTGTTTACACACAGTTAAATGTGAATCACGACTTGTCAACTACATGTAACGGCATTTAATGCAGACCAAGAGTATAACAATGTAATGTTGGCAAAGAGCTAATACCAATGTTAATGGCCGTCTCCGTGGTGTAGTGGTTAAAGCGTCCGCCCGGACGTTAAAATATGGTACTTGTTGGTCCCTGCCTGGCGCTCGGCATTAAAAGGGTACAACAAGGACTGGTCGACTCGGAGTCAGTATAATGTGCCTGAGTGGGGTATTCATGCTTCACTGTGGCATGGTATCTCAGTGGGCTAGCACTATAAAACCAGCTTCAGTCTTGGGTATCTCAGTGGGCTAGCACTATAAAACCAGCTTCAGTCTTGGCTAGTACAAGCAGCCGCACATACACATCCACACGCATGCACGTCGTCATATGAGCGAAATATTTTCAAGCACGACGTTGAACCCAATTCTACCACCACCAATGTTAATAATAATAAAGAATCTGTTATGTGCCCAAAATCCCATGGCGCTACACAAAATTAAAATACAGTGCAGTAGCGGTGTTATCTTCATTGTAATTCAATATTTTGGGAGAGGTATGTCTTTAGGCAGCTTTTAAAGGTTCTCAAAATTGAGGGTTCCGGGTCATGGTAAAAGTTAAAGGAGTAACTATGGTATAAGGGGAATTACTCTGGTCTGAGCGCCGCGTTTCAGTGAGGAGGTCGGGCTCTCTTTTGGACGATTTCAAGCCCCCAAATAAGCTTCAAGCACCCTTAACTCTGAAACTTTCAGTCCGACTTCGATTAAAATATGTGTATGCACGCATGCTGCCAATCCCCAACATGCCTATGGATTGTAGCATTACAGCACCAAACACAACGGTAGGACTCAAAAGAAAATCTATTTTGCTCACTATACGTGCTGTCTTCATTGGTTCTCTTCAGAGCACAATGAAAGCTGGCAATATGTATCTCAAAAGCTGATCATTTTTTACACTAAGGTACATGTTAAAAGCATTACCGTTTGTGGGTTAGATACATATGTATTTGTGAGTGTTGGCGGTAGATGCGCTATGCCAACTGAAGGAAGCGCGAGTAAAATCTTTCAACACCACCCACTCGCCGGATTTGCAATGCGCAAAGAGTAATACGCTTTCGGTAACATTTGGGTTTTCTGCAGTTTGCATGGATTTTAAAACTTCATAGGTGACCTGTATCGAGGTGATACGTGTTTTTCCAGTATATATACCTTCTCTCGATTCACAAATTCAGTTCCAACAGCCCGAGCGTAACAGTGTAATGGATACTGATACAAACTACTGAAGTACCTTAATTGCTCTGAAATCACAAGTTCACTTGCATGAGCGTGTTAGTGAGTGAGTTAGTTTAGTTTTACGCCACACTCAGCAATACTCAAGCTGTATGGCCGCGGTCTGTAAATAATCGAATCTGGACCTGACAATCCAGTGATTATCAGTATGAACATTGATCTGCGCAATTGGGAACCGATGACATGTGTCAACCAAGCTCAGCGCGAGAGAAACAGCGTTGTGGATATTGGTACATACTACTCAAATACAGAGTACGGATGCTTCGAGTGACATTTCAACTTGGCTGTTGTTGATATTTAAATGGAAATGGTATCTACACTCACCCGAAAATAAACACCATAAACAACCACATAAACACTAAGTACCTACCCCACATCCACATCTACACAGACGCATCCATTAATACTTACAAAAACACAGGCATAGACATACATGTAAAACAAACTCATCCTTTAACAATAAACTTACGCTATACTAACCATACTACCATCAACACTGCAGAACTA